GAAACTCCGTCTCAAAAAAAAAAAAAAAAAAAAAAAAATTAGGTACGCATGGTGGTGTGCACCTGCAATCCCAGCTACTCAGAAGGCTGAGGTAGGAGGATGGGACTTGAGTCCAGGAGCTCGAGGCTGCAGAGAGCTATGATCAGCAGCTACACTCCAGCCTGGGCAACAGAGTAAGACCATGTCTAAAACAAAACAAAACAAAACAAAACAAGCCCCCCCCACAAAAAAAAACAGAAGGGAAAACTGAGCTCAGGGCAGCTGACTGACTTGCCCACAGTCTCTCTAAGTGCGAAGCGGCCCAGGACCTGGGCTGAAGGCAGTCTAACTCCTGAACCTCAGTTCTTCTTGCTGCTTTGCTCCCAGCCCCCCTCTCAGGCAGGCTCTGCTCTGTGCTGCCAGTTCCTGAGGCCTGGGTCCTCCTGGGCCAATGCCCAGGCAGCACATGTTGCTCCCCATCCCCCTGCCACCTTGCCAAGGGGCTGGCCCAGGGCCCGTAGGCTTCTGACCAGGTGTTTGACTGGGGCTGCCCTGAGCCAAGGCCTCTCTGAAACTCTCCTCTGTACCACCTCCCCCTTCCTCGCCTCTATTGGAAACCATCCTCTAAGGAGTCTCCAGCCCTGTAGCCCTCCCAGCCCCTTGAAGACAAGGCCTCAGGCCAACTATTATGGCCCTTCCTCTCCTGGCAGGGCCTCTCTGTCTGCTATAAGGGTAAGGAGAGCCGAGGTGGCAGCTGTTTCAGGGAGGCTTGGTCTGGCCAGGGTGCAGGGCGGTGGAGCCGGGGGCTGGGGCCTGGGCCATGCCAGGGGCTGCCAGGGCAGCTGCCATGCATGCCTCAGGGCTGGAGCCTGGCACCCTCTTGCCCCAGTCTTGGAGCACTAGTGCCCCAGTCCCCAGTCTTTTTTTTTTTCTTTTTGAGACAGAGTTTTGCTCTTGTTATCCAGGCTGGAGTGCAATGGCGTGATCTCGGCTCACCGCAACCTCCGCCTCCTGGGTTCAGGCAATTCTCCTGCCTCAGCCTCCTGAGTAGCTGGGATTACAGGCACGCGGCACAATGCCCAGCTGATTTTTTGTATTTTTAGTAGAGACGGGGTTTCACCATGTTGACCAGGATGGTCTCGATCTCTTGACCTCGTGATCCACCCGCCTCGGCCTCCCAAAGTGCTGGGATTACAGGCGTGAGCCACTGCGCCCGGCCTAGTCCCCAGTCTTTATAGGTAAACTGAGGCTCAGAGAAGGTGATGACATACGTAAAGTCACAGCGGAGGCAGAGCCTGACTCAAAACCACCCCCTCCCTCCAACCCAGAGGGACTTACGAGACTAGTGCTGCGGGCAGTGCTGGTGGAGGAGCGGCGGCGGGTGCTGAAGGCAGGTGGGTGGGCCACAGGGGTCCCAGCATCCTCGGCTGCCTGGAAGAGGGCCTCGGGGTCGGCGGCAGCCAAAAGCAGCTCGCTGGGCTCCAGCTCAGGCTCGAGGCCAGACACAAGTGGGACCCCCAGTCGTAGGCTCAGCACCTCCACCTGCCTGCTCAGTGCATCCAGCCGCCGGCTCAGTGCTGCTCTCTCTGCCCGCAGCTCTTCAGCTGCCCGGGCCAGCGGCTCCACCGTGGCCACAGCTACCTCGGCTGCCTGGGTCACTGCTGCCCGGCCTGCCTCAGCCACCACCTGCAGCTCCTCCAATGCCCGGCCCAACTGCTCCTCCAGGGCTGCAGCCAGCTCAGGCCCAGGCCCTGGTACCCCTGGCATGGTGCTGGTGGGGACTCTATGGGGGGTAATCGTGTGGCAGTGGCAGGGGCTGCTGCCTGTGGCTGACAGTGTCTGAGTCTTTGCAGCTGGTCCGAGGGCAAAGGCAAGGGCAGTGGGCCTGCCCCGCCCCTGCCTCCTCACCCGCCACCAGCCAGCTGGAGCTGCAGCCCAAATAGAAACCTATTCTGGGATCCTCCGTGGAAGGGGCAGGGGGGAGGGGGGCCTGCCCAAGCAGACAGATCGCCAGGCCTGGCCCTAGCCCTGCAGAAACCATACGCCTGCAGGACAGTAAGACTGCATGGGTGTAAAGATCACTGAGATCAGGGTCCCATGCCCATAGGTGAGGAAACTGAGGCAGGGAACAGGAAATGGACCTATCTGAGCCACCATGTACATTAGCTGTGAGAATCCCGTCTGCTGGACTCCACTCCTTCACCCTCATGCCATGCTGTTTTTGACAGCTGGAACAGATGGGGGGAGTGGAGGCACAGGGAGGCAGGACTTTGAGTGATCTGCTGCAAAAAGGGTCTTGGCCTGAGATAAATGCCCTCTGGCCTGCCCATGGTGCTCACATCCAGCCACAGACTTTGAGCAAGCACATTATGGGCACATCATCTGTTCCCCCTTGGTTGCAGATGGGTAAACTGAGGCAAGTTGGTGGTGTCAGACCCAGGTCTCACTGTGGCACCTCCCATCCACCTCAAGGGCCTCAGCTGGTCCCCCCACCCCACCTCACACAATCCCTTGTCAGAGGGCAGCTAGATCCTGCTTTTTTGGAGGAAGGGTGCTTTTTTTCCCTCACTCTCTCCCTGTCTCCCCTGAGAAGGCCCAAAGCTGGCTCTAGCCATCTCACCTCAGCCAAAGTCCCGTTCAGTCCCTGGTTCAGCACAGAGGGCATTACCTGGGCAGCCAGGTGGCCCGCTTGGGAATCTCTTCCCCAGCTGAGCTCCTGGCTAGTGGATCCTGGGCTTGGGAATGACTAATGGAAGGGTGCTGCGTATTCAGTTCCCAAGCACCTGCTAGGCTGCTGCCTCACCTGATTGGCACCCCCCTGCTTGTCTGTCCCCCATCAGTGCCTCTGCCCAACCCCCACAGGGAGGTTGACGCAGATGCTAATTGCTAATCTCCAATCTCCTAATGGGCCAGGCTGATCTTGGATGAGCAGATGAGCTGCTCTATACCTCATCCAGTGTGGGTGGGTGCAGGGGCACTGGGTCTGCCACAGGAAGAGGGGAGCAAGCCCTCATTACCCTCTCTGAGCCTCAGTTTCCCCATCTGTTCACCAGGAATGAACCAACCAGTTTTGGACTAAGAATCAGAGATCAGCATGCAGGAAGCTTAATGCCAGTACAGAGTAAGCTTCCGACACACTTAGGGGCTGATACGCTAGGGTCTGGCCTTAGCTCTGCCGCTGACTAGCTGTGGTCTGTGAGCAGCCACCTTCCCTCTCTGGGCCTCAGTTTCTCTGTGTGTGCAGTAGGGGAGGAACAGAGGAACCTGCTAGCCCTACACCCTGAAGCAATCTATGTGAGGCTGACTGACTGTGAGGCTGGTGGGGTGAGGAGGGGCTCACCTTGATGCTGCAACCTCCTCGGCTACCGGGGGAGGCATGGCTGAAGCTGGTGACATGAGTGACACTGCCCAGCCGAGTCAGGGTCCCAGGACTGTTGACACGGGTGATGGTGCTCTTGCCCCCACTACTGGTGCTGAGGAGGGTCGGGGGCGCCCGCAGCCCCAGTGTCAGTTCTGAGTGGGGAGAAAGGTGGCGGTCAGGAGGATCAGGTGGAGTGAGGGTAGTGCCAGCCAAGGTTGACAGTGCCCTCGCTCCCAGCACACCCTTTGAAGACACCCTGAGCCCTGGCCGCAGCACCTGTCCTGTATGCAGAGGTGCGGTTGCAAGGCACTCATCCCCAGTGGGGAGGCAATGGGGGGCCTACCTGCCCTCTGGTTGCCTGTGGGCAGCAGCACCCGGCCTGTGGAGGCCTGGCCACGGCCGTCCTTGATCTCGATGGTGAATGTGGTCTTCATACTGCCCCCTGGCTCGGCAGTGCCGACAGCCACGGGCAGTGGGGCACCAGGCTCCTCTGAACGTGCCACAGGCCCCCCTGCTCTGTTTTCAAGGGGCTTGGCAGCCAAGCCCCGCCCCCTGGGGCCCTCCTCCTGGGGGCAGCTTCGAAGCTGGGCCAGGGGCTGGGCTACTCCGAGTTGCTCCTTACTGAACCGGGAGGAGGTGTCACTGGGGCCCCGAGAGGAGGAGCCACTGGAGGAGGAGGCAGGGGTGGTGCTGGTGAGGGAGGGGCCCAGGAGCCTTGCAGGGGTCAGGGGACCTAGGGCAGCCCGGGGTGTGCCATCCTGGAGCCTAGCAGCCATAGGAGAATCAGATGTGAACTTGTGGACACGGTCCCGCACAGAGCCAGCCCGCTGGAACGAGGAACATCCGCTGGCAATGGGGGTGGACTCTAGAAGGGACAGGAGGGCTGTCAGCGGCTGGGTGGGTTTGGGTCTGTCCAGAACCTAGTAGTGGGTGAGAATAGGTGGTACCTCGGTTCTGGGCTGGCTGATGGGGACTGAGCACCGACAGGGAGCGTTGGCAGGGTCGGGGTCTAGCCAGGTCTGGCAGGTTGGGGAGGGGGTGGTGGCCATGTGAGGAAAGAGAAAAGACAGGGGATAGTAGGGGTTCACCTCTCAAGCCTCTCCTGTACACCTCCCTAGCCTCCTACCCTTTCCTATACCCAGCCCCCATCCTGCCTCCCCATCCCCTCCTGGATCTCATACTCCAGCATCACCACTTGGCTTCGTCTCTCCTACAGGCACCTCCTTCCCCTCCCACACCGACCCTAGGATGATCTGGACGTTCCTGGGGGCTGGGCAAGGCTTAGGCTGGAGGAAGGGTGCCAAGATCCTTCCTGCAGATGGGGAGGGGGGACAGCCCCTTGGCCAGTGCTGCCCACAGCTCCAGCTGGGAGATGGGCAGACTCCCTTATTGGGGAGAAGAATGTGCCTGAGGCTGGTTGCTTTTCAAGGCTGCGGGGGAGGCCTCTAGCCATGGGGGTGGAGGGGGAGGTGGGCCTAGCCGGGGGCGGGGACACTTCAGGGGTGGGGTGCAGTGTCAGGGACTGCCTAGACCTGAGGAAGCTGGAGCTGCCAGGCACAAGAGCCCATTCTCTAGGCTGGGAAAGGGAGGCTGGGAGAGGGGAAGCAGATGCCTGTGACTACCCCTGCTGGGATCCTCACCTGCTCTCTTGGTGTCAGAGGGGCCTCTGGGGGGACTCTGGGCAGCAGGGGTCTCTTTGCGGCCAGACAGGAGCTGCAAGGGAAAACACGGCATGAGCAAGGCCTGACTCCCAGACCCGCTCACCTGCCCGGCATCCCTGCCCCTCGTCTAGACTCACCTTGTTGGCCACCTGGCCCTCAGTGCTGGGGGGCGTTGGAGACTCCTGAGGCTCAGGGCTGGTGGTCTTGGGTGGGCTGGCAGGTGGCTCTGGGCTGCCTGGAACCTCGGCTGTAGGGCACTGGGCCTCAGCAGGCTCCAGTGGAGGCTCGGGAGAGGCAGGGGTGGGTGAACTGTAGGGTGAGGCAGGTGAGCGGGAGGTGCTCCCAGGAGGGGCCCGCAGCAGGAGTGTCACTGTGGTCACATCCTGGCTGGTGCCTTCAGGGGTGGGGGTTGGCTTTGAGACCTCTGCCTGCTGCTCTTGTTCCTCTCGCTCTGGCACCTGCAAGGAACCCATAGGATACAATCAAGGCTCCCTAGGCCTCAAGTGCCACTCCCGCCACCGAGGGCCAGGCTGGCAGGTGCCGAGGGCAGGGCATGCAAAGCAGAGCGGCGGGGACATGGCTTCCTGTAGGCACACCTGCACAGGCACTGGCACTGGCACTCTAGGGCAGTCTCTGATCCCCACTTCCCAATCTCTCGGCACTGCCTAGCCTAAGGTGTTCAGAGAGAACCAGGGCCTGATATCAGTGGGTGGGGATGGCAGGAGACCTGCTGGGGACCGGAGCCTTAATAGATCCCTGGAGCCGAGGTTCCTGACCCCTTGCCTCAGCCTGGTTCATCTGGAGTGGAGATGGGGTCCTGCCAGGACCGTGGACCCAGCGGCCTCTGCTGGCCACTTCGGGAAACTGCATGGCCTGACCTCTCAGCCACACTCTCTGGAGAATAGAGCTGTGAACAGTGCCCCATCAATGTCTGACATGCAGGCCCCATAACCCAAGGTAAGGGTGTGGGCTGTGTGGAGGGTGAAGGGCAGCCCTGGGATGGGTTGAAGCAGGGGAGGTGCCAGGGCCAGATTTGCATTGCTGGGAGATCCCTCTGGCTGCTGAATACAGGCTGGATGGCAGGGGTGGGCCCCTTACAGTCAAATACCAGCCTAGCAAAGACACACAAGGTGCTCTGTGCTACTGGCATCCGTGGGCACAGGACACTGGACCACCCTCCCAACCACCTTACCTCACACTGTTCCAGCCTGTGTGCCACTCGCCCCTTGCTGTCCTCTCTGGAGCCACTGTTGGGACGCCCACTGTACAACCTCCCAGCCAAGGTGGCCGCTGGAAGGGAAGGAGCAAGTTTCAGGTGAGTGTTGGGAGGTGCTGTGGACAGCAGACAGCAGGACAGCGGTGGGGCCAGGACATGCCACATACCCTCAATCTCCTGAGCCCGGACGCGGCGGATGGCAGCTCGGATCAGCTTCCGCTCCTCATACTCACCGGCGCTTCGCAGCTGTGGGTGAGAGGCAGGCCGTGGGAGTTGGGCTGCGGGGCCCAGGTCTTCACCTGCCCTGCCCCCATTCCCTGCCCCAGCCTGGGCCTCACCAGCACAGTCAACTCCTCCACATCGTTCATGGACTCCAGCTGCCCTGCCAGCTGTGCCAGGGCAGCCCGCTGCTCAGCTTCCCGCTGCTGAGAGCTGCAGAGACATCATGACTGTACCCACCACTGCCATGGCCAGGTCGTGGAGGATGTGGGCTAAGGGTAGGAGCCAGAACAGAGTACCCAGAACCTTGGCAGAAGGGCATGTGGCTGTGCACACTCTCTGACTGCACACTGACACACATATGCCCATGGACGTGGGCACTAATACCACATACTCAGATGTGCTGACTACACCAGCACAGCCACAATGCCATGTTCAGTACATGCTCCATGCCCACAAACATCCCTGTTTTTCCAGAAGCCTGTGTGCACATACTGCCGTCTGCACATGCAGTCCACAGATACATTTGTGCTCACGCCTGCCAGCACGCATGAGCTGAGCCCTGGCACGTACTCATCCTCTCACCCGCATGTTCCATCCCCCGCTACTCACTGCAGCCAGTTCTCCTTGTTGTCCTGCCGCTCGGCACGGAAGCGCTTGGATGCCAGGGCCTCCTCCTCGCGCTCCAGCTCCTGCCGCTGTAGTTCCCGGATGGCTGAGCGGATGCGCCGCCGCTCTGCCAGGTCCGCTGTGACCTCCAGCTGCAGCGGGGGCGAGGGGCAGGTCATTTTGGCTGCCAGGGGCAGAGGGCTGGCACCAGCTGCCCACATCTCTGCCTGGGGCACAATGTGTGGCCTGTGTCCACTCCCTCTGCCCTAAGCCCTTCACATGGCTGCCTGCCCACGCAGAGTCTCAGGGGTAGACCCAGCCCCCTGTTTCAGTGCTCCTGGGGAGCCCACTATGCATTGTGGTTCACAGAGCACATGACTGTGAGTGGACAGCCAGAAACCGCCCACCTGTGCCAGGTGCCAAGCCAGGCACTCTTTCCTGCAATTCGGTTCCTACCCATCAGAGCCCAGACCCCCAAGAGCCAGGGAGCTTTTGCAGGAGGAGGAGGGAGGCCACCCTGTGGGCCACTAACAAGGTCCCAAGAGGGAAAAGTGACTGGGCTGCTGAAGTCCACCCTCTGAGCAAGAGAGGCTTCCATGGTCTAGTCACCAAGCACCGCAGCCCAGCTGGGGGTAGACTGCCTCATCCACAGATGGGGAAGCTGAGGGCAGGTGCTCAAGGGTCCTGCCTGGCTGAAGGCTATGCTCCACACTGCACTGGCCTGGCCCTAGCCACCATTGAAGGAGCCAGGGTGCAGAATGGGAGGACCACTCCCCCAGACATATAAGGCAGCTGGCATTAGGGGCCACCTCAGGGCCTTAGAGAGGGCATCCCTGGGTGACAGGGGTTCCTCCCAAGTTCTCAGCCCCTCAGTTCCCAGGAAATTGGGGGTGACTGGCCTAACCAGGTTTAGGAAAGAACACCTTCTCTGGAGTGAGTCAGCCAATCCTGTTGCCTCCCCCACACCTCCACCAAATAGAGCCACCCCCTACAGACCCTCCGTGGCTCAAGGGAGAGAGGACTGGCCCCAGATCCCCCAGGAAGATGGTGGCAGAGATAAGCCTCCAGTGTGGGTCTGATAACCAGATGGGAGCCAGTAAAGGCAGGTGATTTCCTCTTTTCCCACTCCGCAGATCATTCGGAGTAGGGCCAAAGAACCCTCTATCACCTCCCTTTTTAGCCCCCGCCTATCATTCCCTTCTGCTTTGGGAAGGCCAGGTGGCAAGGGTGGGGATGGGGTGGAGACAGTTTTCAGCAGGGAGTGTGGGCTGGCCCAGCTCAGCTATGAGCCAGCTTGTCCTTGTCTGAAGAGAGCAGGGAGAGTCTTGGAGGCAAAGCTCCCCAGGCTCCACATTCCTGAGGCGGCCCCCTGAAATTCAGGCCAGAGCCTCCAGTTGGTTCCAGCCCCAATACAGTCCTGGATGGGTGATCAGGGGCACATCCCTGAAACTCTCTGTCTTGGTTTTCTTATTTGCCAGTGGGTGGGGGTGGGAACAGTGACTTGGGCTCTCCTGTACATGGCTGCAATTGCAATAAGCATCATCCCCATACTTGGTTCTAGCCAGTCAGGAGGAGGGAGAGAAATGGAGAGTGCAAATGGGAAGGGCAGGATACCCCAAGGCATCAGTAACATTTATGGAGAGCCTCTAGGTCGAACCCTGTACTGAGCCCCCTACTTGTCCTAAACTCACAAAAACCCTAGATACTGTGTTATTCCCATTTGACAGATGAGGAGATTGAGGTCCAGGGAGGAGATGTGATTTATTTATGGTCAAATGACCTGAGCCAGGATTTGAACCCAGGTTTCTCTGACTCCAGGGCCTGCCCTACACTGAAGATAGCTCTGCTACTGGGGTGTTTGTCATGGTGGGGACCTCAGGGACCCTGACACTGTGTTGGAGACCCCTCTAGTCTGGACTAGAGATGCTCTGAGGCCTAAGGGGACCTCATAGCAGAGGCGAGAAGAAGGAGGCTCACTCCCCAGCTCCCCCACGGGGCCCCCCCCACCCCTGTCCTGGCTAGTCTCAGGCTTAGAGCCTCCTGTGGTACATTTGGAGACTGGGGGCTGGAAGGGACAGTGGGCCCAGCCCCTCCGGTAAGAGAGTAAAGAGGTCCAGAGGTGCAAGTGCTAGCCTTTTGTCTCCTAGGTCCCCATTCCCAGTGCTCCAGGCTCTGAGATGGGGTCCTTGCCCCTGACAAAAGCCTGATATAGGAACTTAGCCACCTCTACGACACAACCCCAGGAGCTTCAGTGTCCCCATCTGGAAAATGGGAGCCTCCCTTGGATCCCCCAAAGTGGGTGGGCAAGGCTGGGGACTGACAACCTCATTCCACTGGTCACCCTCTGGCACAACCCTTCCCTTTGGAGGCAAAGGTTGGACCACAGTGTTCCCTCTCTGTGTCCTGGGTTCCACCCTGCCAGGCCCCACCACCGTGTAAGGAGGGGACTGTGGGAAGGAGGGAAGGAAGTACAAAGCGCCATTGTCTACTGAGGGGGAAGGGGAAAGGGATGGGGCGGTTTCCGAAACTGCCCAGTGAAATTCTCCCGGGAGGAAAGAGGGTGCTTCCTCCCCCTGGAGGGCTGGCTCTCCGTGTACTCTCTGCCCTCACTGCTGGGGACGTCTGGCAGCCCCTGAGGTCTCGCTGGGCCTGTCTCCCCAACAGCATAACGGAGGGGACTCTCCGGACGTTCTCTCAGTCCCAGCTCCCCCAGTAGCCCTTAGGGGACCTGCTGGCAGTGGAGCGAGGGCTCGCCAGGGGGCGCTGAAGGCCCGCAGGCTGCGCGACTGCCCTCCCTCGCGGGGCGCCGCCCTCGCCTCGCCCACCCGGCCTCGCGCTAGGCGCCGAAGGGGGAGCCAGATCGGAAGTCCCCCGCTACCGCCTGCTTCAGTGTCCCCATCTACAGGGAAGAAACCCGAGGTCCCTGGGACACCCAGCTAAGTGAGTGGTGGAGCCCGAACTCGAACCTGGGACCGAGGCAGAGGGCGTCCCGGCGGGTGGTGGAAGGGCACGCGGCATGCCAGTCCCCAGGCGCCCCCATTCCGCACAACCCCCAGTCCAGTCCTCAGGAATATGCGGGAGCAGGGGCCGGAAGCTGCTGCCAGCGTCCCCAGATCGGCCAGATGCTAGGGCACAGGGCAGGCGAAGTGGCCCCAGCTTTTCCTTATAAGGCCCGGTCCCAGAGGGAGGAGCCCGGCTCCGGACGCCCCCGTTCCTGCCACGAGGCCGGCGGGGGCCGGGCCGGCGCGTGGGGCGCAGTAATGGCGGGCGCTGGGGGCTGGAGGAGCCGCTGCTCCCGGGGTGGGAAAGGCTTCGAGCTGCACCGATCCCGAGACCGAGGCAGGTTCCCATATGTCCTTTCCCAGAGATGGGGGCGTGGGTGGGCTGACTTCAACCACTGCTCCAGCTTCTCCCAAACTCTTTTTCAGCGCCGCCCGAGCCTCGCATGAGAGAGGGAGGTGGCGGCGGAAGAGCCCTGAGCCTGACTGTGGACACCTTGAGATAAGGATGCTCGGGAACCTGGCCTGAAATTCTCTCTTTTTGGACTGCGCTGCCTCTACGACCCCCACTGGGACTCGGACATCCTGAGGGCAGGTCGAGCTGACTGGTGGGCACCTTTGGAAACCCAACCCCATCCCCTCCAGGCTGCACACATCTTACCATGGCAGTGGAGAGGCAGATACCCAGAGAGTCTAATGCACTGGGTGCATACAGGCACAGTGTCTTGGGGAGGTCATGGCAGCAGCCGGGCACTGCCCAGTGGCTGGGTTACACTGGCTGGTTCCAGCCTCTGCCTTTAGGGGAAGGCATGGGAGTGGGGTGGGTCACTTGTTCTCTAGGTAAGGTAAATCTTTAATTTAACCCCCTGGACAAGGGTCAGGGACTGGGGACATGGAGCTCCTCTGGCCCCTCCCCCAGGCCAGGCTGCCTGGTTTTGGGGGGGGTGTTGGGGGAGGAGCCCTGCCCCACTGCGTTGCTCTACAGCCTCTCTGTGCCTGGGGGTAGACCGGACTCTCAGGAAGAGCAATCCTCCATGGGAGATCTGGGTCCATGCCTCATTCTGTCCCCATGCCAACCCTAGGACCTAGAGTTTGTGTGCACACTTCTCCCTCCCTCCCTCCCTCCATGTTACACGTAAAGGAACTGAGACCCACAGTAGAAAAATGAGATGAGAAGCCGCAGAACCCGTAAGGGCCCAAAAAGCCTGTCTCTCTCTTATGGCCTTGACTTTCCCAGGACTCTAGTCCCCCATGGCCCACTATGGGGTTGGGATTTTGGCACAGTTCCTTCTTAGATGGGTGTCCTTGAGCAGGTGATTTCAACTCTTGAGTCGCAGTGCCCAGGCTTTCAGAGCTGCTGTGATTATTCTGTGACTTGGGATACACAGTGCCCAGCCTGCCCCCTGCCAGGCCTTGGCACTGCCCTGGCTGTTGCTCTGGAGAGGCAGATCCAGCCTCCCCACACCTGTGGCTGCACGTGGGCGAGTCCTCAGCAGTTACTGTTTAAACAGGTGGTGGCTGTGGAGGGCTGGGAGGGACTAGGCTTCAGCACCTGGCATCGACAGGCACATGCCACAGGGGCCTCTGCATCAGCCACATGGAACTGGCCTACCCGTGTTCCTGTGTCTTCCTCCTCCTGACCTTTCCCCCATCACTTCTTTCGGCCAGCTGAGAGGTACCTGGGATTGGCCCTGCCTCTCTGGCTTGGCTTTCCTGTCCCCACAGTGGGTGACGGGGCCACTTACCAGCTTCCGAAGGGCTCCCTCATCCAGCCCAGCTAAGGCGTCGTCCGACATCTCGCTGGCCCCTAGCTCCGTTGGTTCCTTTCTGGTGAGATCCCCAGTGCCTGTGGCACCTGTCACCAGCTCAGAGAATTCTGCAGGGGACAGACATGAATCAGGCCTGCTGGGGCTTCTAGAAACCACAGGCACTTAGGCTCTGTGCCTTAGTTTCCCTCTCTAACCTATGAGCATCCATTGCTGTCCCATCCTGTAACATGGCTCCTGGCTGGAAGTTGCCCTCTGCCTTAGGGTGGTTTGCCAGAAAACTCACCAAATCCAGGGTAGCCCCAAGATCTCTGGTTCCAGCCCTGCCAGCTTGGCCACCAGCCTGCTGTGTGGCCTGGGATAGACTCTCATTCTGTCAAAGCCTCAAACAGGGAGGGCGGAGCCCGGCAAGGCCCACCCAAGCTGTGCTCACCACCAGGGGGTGCACTCCAGTGTCCACAGTTTCCTGCCCCACCCACCCATGCCCAGTGCCTACTCAGCCCACACCCACTCTGTAAGCTCAGCCTCTGGCTGTGGGCTGAACCCATATCCAAGTTTTTGCTGCCACCACCACTGTCATTTCCCCAGGTGTAGGAAGGTACACTGTCTTCCAATTCTTGGAGCCAGCTCTCCTGTCCCAACCTCCTGAAGCCAGGTGTCCAGGTACCCAGCACCTCCTGCCAGTTCACAAATAATTCAGCTCCCCACCTGGAAGGGCCTTCAGAAGCTGACCTGCCCAACCTCTGGGTTTCAGGCAAACTGAGAGGATTGGAGAGGGCCAAGGATTTGCCACCAAGCAAGGAGGAACCCAAAGACTTAGAGGACAGAGAAGGATGTAATCAAAATCTTGGTCATCTCTGGCTTCTGAAGCTCCATTCCAAAGTGCCCTCAAGGGCCTAGAACACTCTCAGTGACAGGGGCAAGAGCCCCATCTTGCCCCAGTGATGGGGCAAGAACCCTACTGCTGCTCATCAAAATGGACCTCTAAATCCTGGCCCAGCCTCCCAGCTCAGATCTCTCCTTCCTCCTGTAGCCCTAAGTAATGCCTGTCTGGAATTTGAGGGCCCCTGGTCTGGCACACTGTGGATGCTTACTAATGTATGGTGACTGAGATGGCCCCAGGACTACCCCCCACCTCCTGTTGATTCATCTTTCAATCATCCCTTCCCTCTCTTCAGAACAGTCACTTGGGAAGTCGCCCCATCCCATGCATGGGTCGGGGGTGGGGGTTACCCCTCCACACAGTTGGGGTGTGTAGGACCCTGCCTGTTCAAGTCACTGCTTGCTCTTCCTCCCATCAGGGTAGGCTCAGAGGTGTCAGCCCCCCAATCTCTGCCTGTTAGGGTCCTTGCCTCTTACCTACTTACTCTATCTGGGTTAAACCTCTTCAAGACTGTCCAGTGGTCACCAGCCTTAGGTTCTGCGTACATTCTGGTTCCCCCCACGTCTTTTCTTCTAAGGGGCAGGTGTCCCTAATGCCTAATCTAGGGCACCCAAGGGACTATAAGATCCCTGCCGCTGCCCTTCTGCAATCCCATGGTTCTCTGTCACACAGTTTGGGGTCGCCGGATATTGTGAGGGGCCTCAGGGTTCTGTGGCAGCTTCCCCAGGGTTTCTGCCACCAAAGACTAGCGCCCCAGTGGGGCGTGGAGCCTCTTAGGAATCCGTGGGCGTCTTCCCCCCACAGTCTCAGAACTTTATCCCATGGCTTAGAGCTCTCGTGGACGAGTGGGGGCTCCTAGGTCTGGACGTTCCAGAACTCCTGTCCAGACATCCGGGTTCCACCCCCGGACACGTTGGGGGAGCACCAGGATCCCCCCCCGAGGTCCGCACACCCACCTCTCAGTCCAGCCCACCCGTCTGGCGCAGGCTCGGCTTAGCTTGTTCGGGACCCGGCAGATGGATTAGACACGCGCAGGCGGGAGGCGCTGCGACCCGGTGTCCCAGGCCCGCTCAGCAACCGTCCCCTGGATTCTGCGGAGAGCTGCCCGTCCAGCCGCGCCAGCGTCCCGTGGCCCCGCCCCGTCCCGACGCACCAGCCAATCCTCGGTTGGGTACCTCCCACTCTCGTGCCCCATTGGGAAAATTCAATTTGACGGTCACACCCCGGAGGAAGACCCCGCCCCTTGCGGGCCAGGGAGATCGGAGATCTTAGTCTGGGGGTCGTCTGCGGCGGTGGGTTTAGCGATTCGGGTGGGCATCGGCAGGAGCCCATAGGCTCTGCGCCAAGTCGGGGAGGGCGCCCGAGCCGAAGTAAGTTTCCTGGGGTCGTAGGAATCTCAGAGCCTTCTGGACAGCCCGTCTCCGCCCTCCTCTTTGTTCCTGAGACCACGTCCCTTCCCTCGACTCCACCCCTTTCTCGCGTCTGTTTAAGCTCTGCCGCCGTCCCCAGGCTACTTTTGGGACACCTGGTCTGGGCCACCTCCGAGCAGGGACTGAGTGATTGGCAGCACCTTGGCCCTGTGTTGGAGCGCCGGGACCATCTCAGGTGGAGCGGGATCATCACACAGCACGCCTTCCCCAGCCCACACACCTTCGCAAAGACATTGCCTTCTTGTAGCGTGTAGCCTTCATGTAGCATTCTTCTACCTTCCAAGCCCTGAGAGTCTGCCTTTAGGAGCGCTGGAGTCCTAAATAAGGAATATGGAGTCCAGGCTCTCATTCAGCAATTAGCCAGGTGACCCAGGAGTTCAGACCCACTAGGGAAGCTATTTCATCTTCAATGCCAGAGGCCCTAAAGCCGCCCACGGGTCTCCGTGGTGACGAAAGTGGGTACAGTTGGGAAGATGAGGTCTGGAGTCCTGTCAAATAAAAATAATAAATAGCCTGGCGTGGTGGCTCACGCCTGTAATTTCAGCACTTTGGGAGGCCGAGGCGGGTGGATCACCTGAGATCAGGAGTTCAAGACTAGCCTGGCCAACATGGTGAAAACCTGTCTTAGAAAAAAAAAATAATAAGAAAAATGAAATAAATAAATAAATAAATAATCACTTATTTTGTAGGGCATATAATGTCCATAATAACCATATGAGACCATGATTATTGTCCCATTTTACAGATGAGGACAACAGCTGATAAGTAGTAAAGCTGTGATTGACACCCAGCACCTTCTGAGTCCAGATTCTGTGCTTTTAACCACTATGTTGTGGGATTCTGGGGAGGTACTTTCAACCTTTTGCCCCAGAAGAGACCTGGTTCAGGTCTGTGACACCCCCCTGGCTCTGCATCTAAGGAAAGGCCCAGTCTCCACTCTGAGAGTCTTTTCCGTGTGTCATTTCATTTCATCTCTACACCCCTGAGAAGTGGTCCCATTTTGCACATCAGAAAACCAAGGCATAATCCAGATGCAGTGGGTCATATCTGTAATCCCAGCACTTTGGGATGCCGAGGTGGGTGGATCACCTGAGGTCAGGAGTTTGAGACCAGCCTGGTCAAGATGACAAAACCCCATCTCTACTAAAAATACAAAAATTAGCCGGGTGGGTGGCATGCACCTGTAATTCCAGCTACTTAGGAGGCTGAGGCAGTAAAATCGCTTGAACCCAGGGAAGCTGAGGGTGCAGTGAGCCGAGATTGTGCCACTGGACTCCAGCCTGGGTGACAGAGAGAGATTCCAGCT